ATAAATATTTTCTTCCCAGGGTGGATCCAACACGAGCTCCTCATACATTTCAGCTGAGGACAAAGCATGGATGAGAGCTAAGGTATGCTCACTTTACTGAGCTGCAGAGTACAGCAGCAAACACACAGTCTTGAAATTTACCCCCTAAACCCATGAGAACACAAATGCTACAGGAGTGTGTTGACACCATTTAGAGCAACCAGTTCTGCTGTCATTAGTCAATGACTGCACTGAATCAAGTGTTACAAAATACTAATACTCTGCACCAGTATAAATACCATTTCATGCATGAATTGTAATATTTCACCTGCAGATTTGAAAAAAAAGAGGCCTCAGTGCAGATAAAAAAATGCAAGTTAGTCTTGATTGGTACAGCTACTAAAATCCTCCAAACTGTCACTTAAATTACTCTTGTTTTCCTGTCTGCACATATCAGCAAACTGTCCCAGTAACAGGTGAATACATGGCCAGACCAAGGACGTGTCACACCTGGTGTGTCTCTGAAAAGAACTGCCCACAACACTTCTGTGACATCCCACTGCTCTGAAACTCACAGAGACAGAGAAGAGACTGTGCACAGAGAATGTTCAGCCAAGAGTGGCCCAGTTTGTTAATTGGCATGCCCTGAACACACATTCATCTCTTCACCCTGGGCAACATCCCCACCCAAAGCCATGAAGGTGGGGACTAAATACCTTTTGAGACTAAGTCAGTGAAGCTTGGAGAGCAATTCTGCTCAGACTAAGTAAAGCACAGAGCAGCAAGGCAGCCAAGTCTCTGTCCAGGCTCTATTGACTAGAGTAAGAACTACACCTCTACCTTTCAAAGTGAAGAAGAATACTCCTCTGCTGTTCTCTGAGCAAGAAAAAAGATTCTCAGAACAAGAGAGGTTTTGCCAGCTGAATCTCTGGACTCATGTCCCCAACAAAGGTTGCAGCAACACTTGGCTTTGATGAAAACACAGCAGGTATGGCATGGGAGAGTTTGGAGTGACAGCAGAGACCACAAGGCTGTGCAGCATTATCAGCCTCTCTGGGAACAAAAGGAAAGAGGTGCACAGAACAAAACAGACTGAACTGCACTGCGGTGTCAGAGAGAAGACATGCTAATTCTATCTCCTGATCATCCCTTCTCTTTTCAGAAGATTAAGATGATAGCTAAGTCCCTGAGCGCAAAAGGATAGGGGAAGGTAAAGCTCTAAGCTCTGAGAGCTCAGCACTCCCTGGAAAAGCTCTTGGCATGTGCAGTTTTCTCTGAGCATTATGGCAGTGAAGCTGTAACGCAGCTTGTGGGAGCTGTGAATGTGTCACCAGGCTGGACCTGGCTGCACAGCACGAGAGGCCAGTGCAGCCCAACAGCACATCAGCAGGCAACTGCTTCTGGCAGACTGACACACTGGGCTGGAGCAAATCAGAATCACAGAATCAACCAGGTTGAAAGAGATGTCAAAGATCATCGAGTCCAACCCTCCCGTGGTCACTAGCCCATGGCACTAAGTGCCACATCCAGTCTCAGCTTGAAAACCTCCAGGGATGGGGAATCCACCACCTCCCTGGGCAGCACATTCCAATGCCTGAGCACTCTCTCTGGAAAAAAATCTCTTCCTAATCTCCAACCTAACCCTCCCCTGGCAGAGCTTGAGTCTGTGCCCTCTTGTCCTGCTGCTGTTGCCTGGGAGAAGAGACCAACCCCCACCTGACTCCAACCTCCTGTCAGGGAGTTGCAGAGGGGGAGAAGGTCTCCCCTGAGCCTCCTCTTCTCCAGGCTGAACACCCCCAGCTCCCTCAGCCTCTCCTCATGCCACTTGTGCTCCAGTCCCTTCACCAGCCTCGTTGCCTTCAGTACTTCTGTCACTTGAATTTGACACTGCATTTTCAAGGTCAGAGGATAAACATTACCATGGTGTAAGAGAAAAATAGGAAGAGTTTTGCTTTTGTAGGGAGATAATGGAGGTAGTCCCAAAAAGCATACTGCAACAGCATTCTTCTCAAGAAGGCATGAATAATACACCTAGCATAGTGTAACTTGTGATTAATAATTAACACTGTAGTGCACAGTGCATGCTCATCTGCAAAACCCAGGGAACACTTCCATAGGTAGGTTTGCACTTCAGAGACTTTGCAAGTCTAGAGCTCTTGAGTTTGGGGAGGGTCACCTACCCTGTCTACCCAAACCACACATTTCACTGTACTTAGTTATTCTGAGGGCTCAGTGAGACCAAAGGGGAAGATGTGCTCCATGCCAGCTGTGGTGGGATGGACCATCACATGCCTGACCACGCAGGGCTTGCTGCAAAGTGTTCCAGAAAACATCAGGGAGATAAAAAGCACTATGGAGCAAAAGCAAGCATTATCCAGCTTCTGGATTAGAGACATGAAATAAAGCTCTGTGCTCTTCTCACCCTCTGCTCCCTTGCTTTTGCACGCACTCCTTCCTCCCCTTTGCTTTTCTTTGGCTAATCTCAGACTCTGGAGAAACATCTCGAAACAATTCCTCCTACTAAAAAGAACAGGAAAAGTGCTCTGATTTCATACAAATTAGGGAAGAAATCCCTTAGCTAAGTCCACTGAGAAAATGCGAGATATTTGCAGCCCTAAGAGTCTGCGAGCAGGAAGGAATGAGTGTGGAGAATAACAAAACACCTTTACAGTTTTGATAGGCATTTTCAGATTCAGCACTGCTTCAGAGATGTGATGGCTCCCAGAAGACACTGCATGCATGCCCATGTGCACGTAGGAGCCACTGCTTCACTGCAGGCAATGCAAAGCTGAACTCCACGAGTCAGCAAGAGCAACGTGGTTACCACCTCACTCGCCCTTCCAGTACAGAACCAGTACAGAACTGGTTTCAAAACCAGGGTTTGGTCATGCCTGGGGTCAGGAGGGACGATGCCAAAGTAACCCTTTCCAATGCTTACCTGGAAAGTTTCACAAGACATCGAGGATGACTCCGCGATTTTCCTATCTGGCTTATTTTTATCCTGATGTTGCTATAGAGGAAAAAATTAGGATGACATTTCTTCAATGAGGACAGTGTTTTCACAAACAGGTTGCCCAGAGAGGTGGTGGATGGTCAGGCTGGATGAGCAACCTGCTCTGGTTGAAGATGCTGCTGCCCATTGTGGGAGGGGCTGGACTGGATGGCCTTTTCCCTTCCAACCCAAACCACTCTGTGATTTACCTGCACTATGACCCCAAACCTTGTATTCCCAAACACTAACTTTGCACAGAAAAACAGCATTAGTCATGCAAACTGAAAATTAGGTATTTCCACTCCAATCCCTCCAAAAGGGCATTTTTAATTTTGTGCCACACAGTGTGAGGTACCACATTACCAGGGAATAGAGAAGATAGAGAGAGACTCCTCATCCAGCTGTACACCACAACGGCAAGCACGAGAACAGCCTAACTTCTCATCCTCTAGCAGCAGAAACTGCACCTTCTCCCTGTATCATTTGCTTCCTACATCGATATTGCTTCTGCACCCCCCGGGCAGCTCCAGGAATTCGCTCCTCCAGTCTCCCTTTCCTCTTCCCTTCCTGCCAGAGACTGAGGCAATTGCAGGACTGCGTTTCTGGACTAAGACACAGCAGGTGGATTTGTCACCGACACTCTGCCAGGTACTCTGTCTGGAGCCACACTTAGGTGCTCTCAGAAGTGGCTAAAAATGGGTGATACTCCTGAGGAACAGCAGAGACACAGAGAGGGGAAGAGGACAAAAGGAAGAGGTTGGGCAGCTGCCAACTGAAAGGCTCAAAGCAACGCCTTGTAGAGAAGGGCTGCAAATAAGGTGACTGGCATCCAGACTTTAATTCAGACAGCAGCAGGTCATGGAAATGAATGTGCCTTTAAATGGCAAGCAAGCATGGCACAGAAAGGTTTCAGCAACAAGCAGCCAACTGAGGAAACACTTCATCGCTGAAAACTAGCAGCTACTCAAAGTGGCTACCGTAAGATTATTTCCACAGTGGCTCCTGCTTGGTTCCTGTATTTATTTCCATAATGCCATGCAGACACCCAGAACTGGCAGGATGACTTGTTCAGAACACCCCAAACAAGTCCACACCCTAACCTTAACCACACATGATGTGATGTCTGATAGAGCCTGGCTAGACTCTCCTTCTGCTAAGATTGCTAGAAGCACAGCACAACACATACACTTTGTCACTGAGCAAAGGGGGAGCTTTGGCTCTCCCCCTCGGGCTGTGCCACACTCTCCACAATCCACAACCAGCACTAAACCCACAAAGTTTAATGGTTTCCCATCGGTGAGGCCTCACTCCTATGAAAGTTTAGATCAGTTTCACAAAACTCTGTACAAAGGCAAAGAACATGATGCTTTTTCAGTTTCAAAAAACACAGTCAATGGAAAACAGCACAAATATGTCAAAGATAAATCAAAATAGC